GTCTAAATACCTTGTGGTAAAAATACTTCTTGTAAGCCATTTTATCCTAAATCTAGTTAAATAATACTCTTTTAGATGCAAATGTTACATGTTCCTTCTAATAGACTTAGACTTTTAGTTTTTGATAAATATCCGAAATTACAACATTCCTTTTTTAAGGTTTTTGAATAAAGTTAAACATTTTCAGAAAGAGGATGGATACATTTTCTACATAATGGTGGAGAATTATTTAAAAGAAAAGTGGATTTGAAAACGTTTTACTGGTGCTTTTTGTGTCATTCATTGGTGGAAATTCAACATTATTATTGAAAAACTGCTAAAATCCACATATCTATTTTTTTTTAAATGTATTGGTTCTTTATTCTTTTATTAACGGACTAAATAAAATAACTGACATTATTAAAAGTCATTGTGAGAGCTCCAAAGTGCTGCAAATCAATTCTGCTGAATTAATTTACCAAACGACTTACTGGCTGCGTTTCCATTACAAATCTGCGTAGAACTTTGTTGTTACTCCGCTACAGTTAAAAAAAACACAGTTTTGCAATTGTGTTGTTTCCATTAAATTAGAAACTCAAACTCACTTGTGAATAAGTTTTAGTAATAAGTCATTAAAAACATGCAGGGGCATCATCTTTATATTTACTGTCGTCTTCTTTGTCTTTTCCCGCAGTAGCAACATCTGGTTTGATCACATGACTCATGATGCGAAAGAAGTGTTTTCATTACAGTTTTGCGAAATACATCAATTTCAAAACAATAAAAATACCCCACTTCATCCTATCACCAAAACTTTATATAAAAAACGAGTTTTTTCGAAATTGCCTTGTTTCTATAAGGCGAATTTATGTTTGAAACGTCAAATTGTGCAATTTTAAGGCTAATGCAAATGGAGCTACTGATAGAGAAAGTAGAGAGCTTTCACTGTTCTTCCCTCAGCAAAGCCATCCACACTGAAGAGTGTTGTTCCCTCAGCCAGGCAGTTCTCGGTTATCAAGGTTTCCCCCCAGAAAACTTACTAAGCCTGGTGGTTGGGCCGTCATTCATCCAACAGCCCACCGTGTTTTTGAGTTTAAAAATGTTTAAAGTTGACAGGAAGTTTGGAAATATTACTTGATAATTATGTTATTGGAAGATTAATACCTGAACACCAACTATAACGTCTAAAAACTGCAAACATTTTTTAAAAACTTAAAAAAAGAAGCAATGCTTAGCCTGGTTGGGGGCACAAGTAAAGCCTGATGGCCCCCCAGGCTGGGGGAAACCCTGCAGTTATGCTCTGTTGGTTTCAGATTTATTATTTCAGTATAATAAATCTGATGAGTATTTTTCAAATTTTGAATTTGAAACTCTTATAACTCTTATAATTTCTATAAGTTTGTTTGGCGTAAATGGCAACCATGTTTCCTGGAAAAGCAAATCTGATCTACCTGATAGATACACCACAGAAAAACCCATTGTCTGTGTCCTTGTCTGCTCCCTTGTGGGTGCAACAGTGTTTCTACACTGGGTTATATAATGGGACGACTCTTATCACTGTAAGCGGGACGGAGCGATAGGGAGAGCAGTTCTCCTCTGAAGCAGGTCAGCACAGAGTAACTGAATACACAAACAACACTGGAAACAACAGTCAAGGTGATTCTCATGGGGGGGGGTGTATTTTTTATTTATTTTCCCCCTCCCGCAGCTTTTGATCCACTTGGTCACATCTGCGAGTTCAAACTTTGTTTACATTTCAACCCTCCTTGATAAATAAAGTATTTGCTGACGCAGGTTGGATTGCAAACCAAAAAATGTGAAGTGGAGAGCCGCTGGCTGAGGTCGACTGGATTATTACTGTTGTGTAACAACGGGCTTCTAGGCTGGCTTTCAGAAATAGCTTCTTGTCTTTACTGCATCCGACTGCTATCTTATTAAAAGCGTTACGTTTGAAAGTCTGCAAGGTGGAAAAACCTGATCTGGAGTCCTTTTGGTGCTTTGACCTCACAGGAATCAAGTCACCTCGTGTTACTATAAGTAGATTTATAGGTTAGTGGAATGTTTCAGGTTATTTCATAACATCTCTGTCTCTGAAATATTTTAATTTGAACCCCTGCCAGCAGTTATCAGCTGTTATTGTGAGGCCAAAGTTCTTGAGGATGTTTAGAGGTCGACTATTAGGCTGAGACAGCAGCTTCACAAAATGGCCTCCCGGGTCTGCCACCAGCTCACAGTGTAATCTGAGGTTGCAGTGGAATATGAATGTGTTTTTATGTGAGTGCAGGTTGGAGGTGAGGGGGAAAAATACAGGGATTAAGTAGGGATGGAACGATTAACCTGATTAATCGTGATGAATTGGTTATTGATTATATATTACCTGGACAATTATAAACAAAACAATGTTTTTACAAAATAAAGAAGTCTGATTTCTGTAGGAAAGGAAGCTGCAAATCATTGTAGCTCTGAAATACAATCTGCAATAGGGCTGAAACGATTAATCGGATTAACTGTGATTAATCGACTATTGAAATAATTGTCAACTAATTTTGTAATTGATTAATCATTAACTGGAGCACACAGACTCAAAAAAAGACAGCTTGCTAAAAGATAAATGGTATATATATATATATATATATATATATATATATATATATATATATATATATACCATGTAGGGTACGAGTCTTGGTCTGTAAATATGTTTTAGCATCTTGAATGCAAAATATATTTTTTCTTCATATAGTTTTGACTTAATTACTGCTCTGAGTGTTGTTCTGTCAGCAATTGGCCTTTTTTTCAGTCTGTATACTCCAGTTAACTAATCGATTACTAAATTAGTTGATGATTATTTCAATAATCGATTAAGCACAATTAATCTTCTTAATTGTTTTAGCCCTACTGCAGATTTAACTTTTTTTACATTCTTCCTGGAAATATGTTGCACCCAGAACTCCTCAAGTAGCATAGGTTTAGCTTGATTTACATTTTCTAAAAGTACCTTTTGCTATCCAATTAATAATCACCAGATTAGCTATACACTGTATTGATGTTCAGTCAAATGTAATAAATATTTATTAGCTGCAGATGCTACAAATGTCTTAGCATACGCAAAAAGAATGCTGTCATTGCATTTTCTTCAATAAAATATTTATTTTATTGTATAAAAATGAATGGAATAATTTGTTTACTTGCATATTTTAATGTATTTCTACTATTGTATAAAAAGGCTAAGGTGCCTAACTGAATTTCTATTTAATTAATCACCAGAACAGTCGATTAATTGACAGTCTAATCGATTATTCGATCACTAAAATAATAGTTGCAGCCCTAGTTTTAAATGATTGTTGACAGTCGAAGCTGTGAAAGTGTGTTCTCGTTGTGTAGCATCTGCCAGATGTTTGACAGCAGCTGATCTGCGACTTCCTGAGAAGCAAAGCCGCAGACCTGAAAATCTTTTAATCTCAGCAGACCAATTATCTGCAGAGCAGTTAGAACATCACACGTGTGTAATGGAAAGTTTCACTTTTTAACCTGAAGTCTCCTGTTGCTCTGCTAATTTTAATCAGCTGCTCCAGTTTCAGAATAACAACAACGCCCCTGGTCAGAGCTGCTGGTGCACACCGGATCGATTTTAATTGGATGTGCGTTTGGTTGCAGAGAGCTTTTTAAACTGTTGTACTTCTGGTTTTGGTGCAGCTCCAGTGTCGTCTAAATGGGGTTTCTGAAGTGCCGTAAAATCTCAGAATCAAAAGGAAAGAATCAAAGCTTTTCAGAATCAAAAGGGAAGAATCGAAGCTTTTCAGAATCAAAAGGGAAGAATCGAAGCTTTTCGTCTTGAGCTGCAAAGTTTTTATCTGGAGATCTTGTTTTTTGGGGTCATTGATGCTACAGAATGTGATTAATCTGTCAGAACTTTGCAGGTTTCTGTCTTCTCCGTTTCTTCCTGGAAATGTCACGACGATTGGTGTTGCGCTTTTCCTTTTGGTAAATCACATCTGTGGGTTGATGACGTTTCTGAAGATCCTGTTTTGTTGTAGCTGTTTGCTAGAGATGCAAATTTGGATTCCAATTTTTTTTTATTTAGGGTCACTATTCGATTCAGAAACCAATTTTTCAGTTAAATCGGTCTAAAGATCGTTTAAATTATGTGACTAATGAGGACAATACATTCAAGACAGTTCTACAAGGTTCCACACATACTATAATTGTCCCAGAAGTTATTGTGATAAACGATACTATTGTAATTTTGAGACATTTTAACTAATATAATGGTAATGTCATAATAATGCAAGAACACATTCTCAAAGAATAAACTTTAAACTCTAATGAACATTTTAACACTGGAACTGGAAGACATTTTAAATATCTAAAATAAATAAAAGAACAACAAATAAATAAATTATAAAGTGCCTGTAAACAAAATTCATTAAAAAAAAGATTAGTAGAGATCAAAGCACCAGATTGTCAGTAAAGTTTATTTATAAAACGCTTTTCACAGACATAAAATCATAAAGCTCTGTACAATAAAGATCAACCTTAAAGTATTTGAAGCATAACAAACATAAAAACAATAAAATCCTGACATAACAGCCTGGAAAGAAACTGTTTTCATTTACTGAAGTCTTTTAACGTCCAGTTTTTGGTAGTAAGAGAGAAAAACAATAAATTATGCAAATGGAAATTATTGAGCTCATTTTAATCGATTTATTTTCCATTCTGCATCTAATTCTGTCAATTTATATTTAAACAAAATAGGTTTGTGTATTAGGTTAGCTTAGCTGCCTGGCTTTTTCTTGAATAGCAAAATATCAAATAATTATCTGCGATATGAACAGCGGGTGAGTGGATGCATAATGCCATCTTCAATATACTAAACATTTTCTGAAATTGTTCTTTGAGCATTTTGAATCGAGTAGGAAATGCGATTCTCTGTAGAGTCGATTATTTTCTGCGTCTTTCCAAACTCGTTGAGGAACCCGGAACGTGTTTTTGTGACTGATCCACGGCGTTTTTCCACGCAGGGTGAGTTCGGAGCGCAGGAAGGAGAAGTCGAGGGACGCGGCGCGATGCCGTCGCGGGAAGGAGTCGGAGGTTTTCTACGAGTTGTCCAAGCAGCTGCCCATCCCCCACAGCACCAGCTCCAACCTGGACAAGGCCTCCGTCATGAGGCTGACCATCAGCTACCTGCGCATGCAGAAGCTGCTCTGCATCGGTCAGTAGCCGCTGGCGGAGCGCCAACGCATCAGAGCGAAACATTCGGCTCAGCGGCTATGATTACAAACGCAGAATCTGCATTTCTTTTCTTACTCATCCATATTAACCTGTAGAGCAGATGGTAGCAGACTCCATGGTTCAGTCAACAGCTGGGGTCAAAGGTGATGTGGCTGATGTCGCCATGTCATGATGGAGTTAAACGTATTTTTTTATGATAAAATGATTTTCTATGACTGAATGTCGCTGCTGTCAAAGGTCCAGAAATAATCTTCTTCCTGGCACCAAAGACATGAAAAAATTTGATTATTTTGACTAAACTGGACACAGTAAATCCACTTAATCATATTATTTACTTTTATTTATAGTTTTTGTGCTCTCATAAAGAGAAAATATTTTTAAAATCAGTTTTTAGGTCAGAAAATTAAATGAGAAAGCAAATAAATTGTTTTGAAACATGCTAGATAATACATTAAGATTTTTTATATTTATTTTTGTTAATATTCTAATCAGAATTTGTTTGGCTGTTATGGTTTCTAACCACAAAGCTACAGAAGCAGAGCGGATGTTTTCCATATTTTTCCTGATGGTTTTCTCAAGATAAAAGTTTGTTTTCTCAAAATTAACTCGATTTGGAGATTCTTTAGAGCCCAAAACAAAAATTTATAAATAAATTCAGTTAACTGCAAAGTAATCTCAGTATAAGCCCTGATCACATAGAGCAGGGGTGTCCAAAGTGCGGCCCGTGGGCCGTTTGTGGCCATTTAATGATTCTGATCGGCCCTCCGACCACAAAGTAAAAATCTGTCCAACAACTCGACCATAAAAATTTTAAAATTGTTTTTTCTTTTAATAAGACAGCAGTCCAAGATCTTTTTTCATGTTTTTGATCTTTAAGGATTTATAGATTTAATTAAAATTTTGTGTATAATCAAGAAGGTAAAACTAAAAAAAGAAAAATCACAGTAAACTCATTCAAGTTGGCCAACATTGACACACTAATTACACGTTTAAATGTAAATAACCAAGAAAATCAACTCAAATATCTTCATTCTGCAGATAAATCAGTCGGTTATTTCAGCGCCATGTGAGTAAACGTTTCAGTTTCTGGTTACAGTTGCATAATCTAATTTTTATTTTTTTTTTTGCCTCCTTATCTCTTCCAGATGAGCCAGTGGCAGAGGAGACAACAGAGCTGGACATCCAGCTAAACGGCTCCTACCTGAAGGCCTTAGACGGCTTCCTGGTGGTTCTGTCTGAAGACGGAGACATAATCTACATCTCAGAAAACGTCAACAAGTGCCTCGGCCTGGCACAGGTCGGTCCGTTTCACGTGACTTTATGTTGAAATCTGGGAAATAAATGGAGACCAAATGATTCATGTTTTCCAACACTTCAAGGTCATAAACACTGCAAAAACACAAAATCCTACCAAGTATTTTTGGTCTAGTTTCTAGTGCAAATATCTTAGGAAGCATGAAATAAGACCTAACCTGCTTATACATAACTTTTCAGCAAGACATTGAAGCTTTATTTTAATAAAATAATTCCTTTTATATTGATTAAATAAAGTCCTAGTTCCACTGGCAGATTATTTTGCATATAACATGGGTAAAATATCTTGTAATAAGTGAAATAATCTGCCAATGGAACCAGCACTTTTTCATTAATATTAAGGAATTATTAATTTGAAACAAGCCAGTATTTCTGGCTTACATATTTCAAGTGTACTGAGATATTTGCACTACAAACTAGACCAAAGTTACTTGGTAAGACTTTGCGTTTTCGCAGTGCAAGACCTCATTATCTATTTTTACTTAGCAATTACTAAAATCCTAACAATAATTTGACTTTTACTACATTTAGTAAGGATGCATATTCTTAAAACAAACTCTGAAAAGTTGCTTATAGGTCAGTTTTGTCTTATTTCAGGTGCACTAAAAATTAGACCAAATATTTGGTAAGATTTTGTGTTTTTGCAGTGCAGGTGAAATAACTCGTTCATGTCTGCCTGAAATGTTGCAGTTCGACCTGATTGGACACAGCGTGTTTGATTTCACGCATCCCTGTGACCAGGAGGAGCTGAGAGAGATGCTGGTCTACAGAAGCGGTGAGCAAGTCTCTCTTCTAGACGCACCGATCCACTTTTTCCACTTCCGATATCGATGCAGATATCTGACATTTAAAACAGTCCATCCAATACAATACAGAAAAAACGGAGCTGGATTGACTTGAAACCTGTTTTATTTTTAAATGTAATGAATTAAACCTTTATTTGGTAACTCTGCACCAGTACAGCTCAATTAAATGCACCAATAACCTCAAAAAAATCTATTTTAATTTGTTCAGTCAGTGGAATTAGTTGTATCAATAAACTGAAACTGACAAAACAAAACGTAAAAATAAACCAACAAACATTATTTCAAATGGTTAAAAAAAGTGAAATTAGAAATAATGAATCAGAGCATGAAACATAGAACTAGACTGAATAGATCTACCCTTAGGGATCAAACTTATAGATTATAGATCTGTGCATCTCTAGTTTCAGGTCTCATTTAAATCTGACAGAGTTGTAGCTGCAACTCCACTTCCTTTTTCTGTTTTTCTTTTTTTAGTCTCGCCACAGAGCAAAGCCTTTAAACTTTTATGTCTTCTCTTTATGCAAACGAGATCAGCAGGTTGCAGTTGTAAAGAAAACCCATAAAACCGTTGGTAGTTGGAGATAAAAACCCTCGTTGCTCTTTTACGACTCTTAACCGACTCCATTTCTTTTCTTTTTTTTGTGCCATCAGGCTCCAAGAAAGTCAAGGAACCGAGTACAGAGCGCAACTTCTTTCTGCGGATGAAATGCACGCTGACGAGCCGGGGGCGCACCGTCAACGTGAAGTCCGCCACGTGGAAGGTAAAGCAAAGAGAAATACCTGCAGAGAAGCATTAAAGATTTAAGCAATCTGTCTCCTGCTGCAGGTTGATTAGATTTTGAAAAGGAGGATTTTAATAAAGCTTCAGGTTGAAGTGGTAACTCGGTTATCCTCTCAAAAATCACATTAAGCTTTCAGAAAGTGCTTTGAAGCTTTTCTGTTTCACTGCAGCTGTCATGGCTGCAAAACTGGAGCTGCATAACAACCAGAGGTGGGTAGAGTTCCCAAAAATTACCCAAGAAACAGAAAATGCTTCAAAATATCTTTACTAAAGT